ATAGAAAGTAGATCAGACAGCTGATCCAGACGCTGCTGCCTGCGTCCTCACTAGAACTATAGAAAGTAGATCAGACAGCTGATCCAGATGCTGCTGCCTGCGTCCTCACTAGAACTATAGAAAGTAGATCAGACAGCTGATCCAGACGCTGCTGCCTGCGTCCTCACTAGAACTATAGAAAGTAGATCAGACAGCTGATCCAGATGCTGCTGCCTGCGTCCTCACTAGAACTATAGAAAGTAGATCAGACAGCTGATCCAGACGCTGCTGCCTGCGTCCTCACTAGAACTATAGAAAGTAGATCAGACAGCTGATCCAGACGCTGCTGCCTGCGTCCTCACTAGAACTATAGAAAGTAGATCAGACAGCTGATCCAGACGCTGCTGCCTGCGTCCTCACTAGAACTATAGAAAGTAGATCAGACAGCTGATCCAGACCCTGCTGCCTGCGTCCTCACTAGAACTATAGAAAGTAGATCAGACAGCTGATCCAGATGCTGCTGCCTGCATCCTCACTAGAACTATAGAAAGTAGATCAGACAGCTGATCCAGATGCTGCTGCCTGCGTCCTCACTAGAACTATTTCTAGAAGGAGTGTAGAAATCACAGAATAGATCAGCACCTCAGCGCAAAACATATCTGTTGTCAGTGGATCTACCTCCCAGACCACTCAGGTCTTCTAGTTCCACATAGAACCAAAGATGGAGAAGCAGCATCTATGCTCCGCAGATCTGGAGAAACTCCTGAGTTCTTTGAAGTCGTTAGTTTAGAGTCTTTGGGAGTTAAACCGTAAACCGAGGATCATTAGTTTAAGGTCGTGTTTTAACTGTTTGATTTACTACCTATTTTATCTTCATTTGCTTTGATTTTTCTTTTATTTTTTTCTATTTTATAGTTTGATTGACGGGTCAGCATGTGACTGAATGACTGAAGTTCTACAGACCATTTAAAGAACTTTGAATTGTCTTTGAACTGAATGTTGCTATGGAGATAAACTAGCCTTGTTGACCTGCGTTTGTCTACGACGGGAAGCCCTGCCACATTCCTGCTGGTTAATCAGGTTCTATGAAGCCTAGCTCTCAGTGTAGTGAAGCTTTTTCTCTTTCAGCTTCCAGCGGGATAAAAGTATTCAACTATTCACCCTAGTTAAATAAAAGGAGATCGATGGATTTCACTCAGTCGGTCCTTTATTCTCTGATCTTTGCAGAGAGAGAACATTTCATCAAATGGCCGTTAATATGTTGTAATCAGCCCCGTTCTGATCTGGACACAGTTAATCTCTCTTACTTATAAACAGGTTTGGGTCACACTCAAAACAAATTCCAGACACTGGGTTAAACCATAAAAATTTATTATAAAGAATTTGGCTTCTTATGGGAAAAAAACATCTCACTCAAACATTTTGCAGGTGAAACAGACGGAATAAAAACATTTTTCACTGGATAAAAAGCACAACTTAATATATGAGAAAAGAGAAATCTAAAGGACAATGATGCCACACCTGGAAAGTTTGGTTTAAACACCTTTATTTCTTATTTTTGGAACAACTTCATTCTTTTAGTTTCCATGTTTGATCAGAACATTCAGAAAGAATCACATATTGATTGATTGATTGATTGTGTAGAAAGTCTGCAGTGAGCTGGAATCCCTCCTGGCAGACTGAAGCAGGCTGTATGAGGCAGACAGCTGATTGGACACTCAGCTGAAGCTGTAGGAAAAGTACAATGTGCCTCCTTTCCTCAGGCTACAGCGCTCCCAGTGGTTTCCCCTCCTAAGCCGGGTGTAGCAGCGTCCCACTTCGTCATCAAAGAGAGGATCCTGGTCGTAAACTCTGAGCTCCAGGCGATCGTTGGCCCGGGCGTCTGAGTGGGAGAAGGTTTGTGACCAGTAGGGGTTTGGGTTGTTCCGGATAACGTTGGTTTCACCCAGATAACGGGAGACGCAGTAGACCTTCACATAGCCGTCTGCTTCGCTTACACCCTTTCGCAGACCTCTAGCGCTGAGGTGAGACACCCTTAGGTCTGAGAGGGCCACGCCCACACAGCAGAGCAGCAAGACGAGCAGAGGAAGGCTGGAGGCCATGACTTCAGGAGGCTGCAAGCAGAAGATCAAGGAGTTAGAGAAGAACCTTCCTGATGCACTCAGCATCTGCTTGATTCAGCTCTATTTCACTGCCTTTGAGGTGGAAGTCAACAACACAGCAGGATGAACAGTGGGGGACCCATCTGACAGCATGAAGTAGGCTAACAGGAGATGTAAAGACCAGACTAGCATATCTGAAGAAGCCAGTGAAGGTGGCCTGGCTGTGGGAGCAGCTGGAGGAGCAGCTTGGTCACTTCTGAGGCTGAGATCAGCCCAAAGGTGAGGAGGAGATGTGGAGGTCTTACCTGCAGCTGTGATGTCAGATCTAAGCTCAGGTGTGTCTGCAGCTCCTTATAAACAGCCCAGCAGAGGGAGGAGGCTGCTTTATGATGGCTGCTCTTATCAGTCCTGTTCTTTACTGCATCTGCTGCATCTTTTGATCACGTCCTCTAGGAACAGAGATCACTTTGATAAAAACCTTCCATCTTTATTGTTCCTGGTGGTTCTGACCCTGACCTGCAGCGCTGCCACGCTTACGACCATCAGAGATGGGAAGTAACGGAGTACAAATACTTCGTTACTGTACTCAAGTAGATTTTTCTGATATTTTGACTTTACTTTACTACTTATTTCTATGGCGACTTTTTACTTCTACTCCTTACATTTTTACACAAATATCTGTATTTTTTACTCCTTACATTTTAAAAAATTGTCTCGTTACTTTAGTTTTGAATCATTTCAATGGAGTTACCGTTATTATTTTTCACGTCATCAATACCAAATTCAATCTAATTGGATGGGAATCTACGTTGCATTTGACGCACCGCTACAAGATGAATCGACAGATTCGGCGGTATTCATTCACGGCAAATCATTGCAGCTTGGTGGCGGTGGCGTTAGCATAGTAGCATGGACGACGAGATGATTGAAAATGAACACAACGGAGATCTAGTCCTATTGGCAGACATCCATTTAAAATGTAGGCAACGGCATGAAAAAAGTGGTTTCTACTTTTACTTTTATACTTTAAGTAAATTTACAAGCCTGTACTTTGTTACTTTTACTTGAGTAAAGAAGTTTAATCAGTACTTCCACTTTTACCAGAGTATTTTTTAACTCGAGTATCTGTACTTTTACTCAAGAACGGAAAGTGAGTACTTTTGCCATTTCTGCCGACCATCAGAGAAAGAATAATGTTGATGGCGTTTATCTGGAGCACGATCCTAGAAATGAAGCCAGACTTTGATTTGGAAAAGCAAACGTTGCCTTTCTGCATTGAATGCTGTTAAATGCAGGATGTTGGTCTGTAGGAACTAAAAGGCTTTGATTGAATCCAGTGAAACCGTCCGTCTGGGTCTCCTGCTTTGGCCAAATATTGGTCAGGTGAAAAACGGAAGTAGAAATGAGGTCAGTGCAGGTTTATAGGGAAACAACAAGGTGGAGTTTCTGCTGCAAGGTCACCCAGTCAGTAACCAGAGTGGTAAATTTAATCCCAGTTTGCTATAAACTGGCTGCTATTCATCCTTTTATTGCTTCATCCCAGAAACTGTTCTCCACTTCCCTGACTTTACTGGGACCTACTGGCAGCACTGATAACATCAGGGAAACACGGAGGCTGCAGTGGGATTAAATGGAAAGGATTTGATGTGGAACTGGGTCCCAGTCTGGACCTTCCTCTCTTTTCTGGGACTCGCTGTCATCAAACCAAGGGTCAGAGACACGGATCTGAACACGGTTCCAGCTGCAGAAATGCAGCAAGAACAAAAACGCTATTTTCCATCCTCTTAATCAGGATTTGCTTTTCTACAAAGAAATGATAATTAACTCACTAAACACCAACGATGCGGCGTCCTTGACCTCCTTGTTAAAGTTCAGGAAGAGAAGAACAAGGTTTTCGGTTAAATGTGTGAAAAAAACTGACTGGGCTCCAACTGATTCATGAGCTGATCTGTCGCCTAGCAACCATGACAGCCAAACCCAGATGAAGCTAACCCATTACATAGATTACAGGCATGTCTGAAGACATAAAAACCTGGATGACTCTTAACTTTCTGCTTCTGAATGCAGACAAAACAGAAGTTATAGTCTTTGGACCAGAGTCTCTGAAAAAGAAACTGATTATTCAGCTGTAGGAAGGAAATTTGGTTTAGTGCAGCTTTCAGTAAATGAACGTTTCCATTTGATAAAGTTCAGCAATGATCAAATCTTCAAACGTAAACAATGTGGGAGAAAAAAACATGGTGCAAAAAAGACGCATAATCTAGAAGTTCAGAGCATGAATGTAAATGATGCAAATCTGCATTATTTTGGGTTGAAACAGGCAGAGTGATGAAAAAAGATAAATTAGAAATTATGAAGGTTTGGGTTTGATCACATATTTGTTATTTCTTATGTTGGGTTAAATTAAACTGTTAGCTAAATGATTATTTACTTTTTTATTTTCCTGGTGGTGAGTCTTGTTTCCTTGTTGGTGGCAATAATGCATTTAATTAAAACACAAGAAGACTTGACTTTTAACACTTTATTTACACAATTCAAACATATAAACAATTGTCAATTAAAATCATTAAATTAGGAGCTAGTTCTTTAACCTAAAATGTTGGTAAAACCCCACAGCTGAATAAAATCCTCCATGTTGTGTCTCTGTGGAAGTTAAACTTCAGACTAATTCTGGTTTTAACAGATCCACCGCATCAAGCTGAGCTCGGACTCTGATAAACGGCCATCTTTGATTCACTGATTAAAAATCGGGATTTTAGTTTATTTCTCCTGTTTTGGGAAACTCCTCCTTTAAAAAGAGCGTTTGTAAAGAAGAAGAAGAAGAAGGTTGTAACCATGGAAACGTCCCCTGATTCCAGACTGGTTCTGGTAGTTCTCCGGTTTGTCCTGAGGGGGCGCTGCTGCTGCTGCTGCGGAGCGATAATCCGATGAGAGAAGAAGAAGCATCTGAAGCTCCGACAGAAGGAGAAGCGGAGAAACAAAGGAGGGAATCTTTGCTCCTGGGGGATAATCTGGCCGCCATGTTGTTTGTTTTGATTCGCAGCCTGTAGCCCCCCCTCCTCCTCCTCCTCCAGCTGCTGTCTCGTTCTCCTTCTTGTTTCTCCTTCTGGTTTCTCCTCCTGCAGACATGGAGAGCCTCTATAAGCGCAAAATGTTCGCCTCCATGAGGAGAACCAAGGCGGCCGCCTCCAAGAAGCGGCAGATCGGCCTCCCCGCCTCCATCCTGGACGACAGCGATGAAGGCTCCTTCTCCTCCTCCTCCTCCTCCTCCGGCTCCCAGTCGGACTTCCGGAGCTCCGCGGAGGAGGACCGGGACTGGAGCCAGTCCGGGGGGGGGAGCTCCAGCGACGACAGCCGCTCGGTGAGCCGCAGGAAGCGCTCCTTCCTGGGAGGAGGCGACAGCTCCTCTTCCTCCAGCCCCGAGGAGGAGAAGAAGGAGAAGGAGGAGCAGGAGGGAAGGAGCCAGCCGAAGACGAAGGCCCCTCCGAGGAAGAGGAGCAGGCTGCAGCGGCAGGAGGAGTCCGACTCCGAGCAGACAGAGGAGAAGAAGAAGGAGGAGGAGGAGAAGGAGAAGAAGAGGAAGAGGCACAACAAGCTCCTGGAGCTTTCCCAGAGGATGAAGGCCCGGGACCCCGCAAGGAGGAGGAGCAGGCCCCCTCAGGTACCGCCACCTCCTACTGACCCCCCCATCCCCAACCAGAGGGTGGGAGGAACCAGTAGAACCCGGTAGAACCTGATAGGACCCGGTAGAACCTGATAGGGCCTGGTAGAACTAGATAGGACCCGGTAGAACCCAGTATAACCAGATAGGACCCAGTAGAACCTGATAGGACCCAGTAGAACCTGATAGGACCCGATAGAACCCGGTAGAACCAGATAGGGCCTGGTAGAACTAGATAGGACCTGGTAGAACCCAGTAGAACCAGATAGGACCCGGTAGAACTAGATAGGACCCAGTAGAACCAGATAGAACCCGGTAGAACTAGATAGGACCTGGTAGAACCCAGTATAACCAGATAGGACCCAGTAGAACCTGATAGGACCCAGTAGAACCTGATAGGACCCGATAGAACCCGGTAGAACCAGATAGGGCCTGGTAGAACTAGATAGGACCTGGTAGAACCCAGTAGAACCAGATAGGACCCGGTAGAACTAGATAGGACCCAGTAGAACCAGATAGAACCCGGTAGAACTAGATAGGACCTGGTAGAACCCAGTAGAACCAGATAGGACCCGGTAGAACCAGATAGGACCCGGTAGAACCAGATAGAACCCGGTAGAACCAGATAGGACCCGGTAGAACCCGATGGGGCCCGGTAGAACCAGATAGAACCCAACAGAATCTATGAGAACCAGATAGGACCCGGTAGAACCAGATAGAACCCAGTAGAATCAGATAGAACCAGATAGAACCCAGTAGAACCAGATAGGACCCGGTAGAACCCGATGGGGCCCGGTAGAACCAGATAGAACCCAACAGAATCTATGAGAACCAGATAGGACCCGGTAGAACCAGATAGGACCCGGTAGAACCAGATAGGACCCGGTAGAACCCAGTAGAAGCAGATAGGACCCGGTAGAACCTGATAGGACCCGATAGAACCCGGTAGAACCAGATAGGACCCGGTAGAACCAGATAGGGCCTGGTAGAACTAGATAGGACCCGGTAGAACCCGATGGGGCCCAGTAGAACCAGATAGAACCCAACAGAATCTATGAGAACCAGATAGGACCCGGTAGAATCAGATAGAACCAGATAGGACCCGGTAGAACCCGATGGGGCCCGGTAGAACCAGAAAGAACCCAACAGAATCTATGAGAACCAGATAGGACCCGGTAGAACCAGATAGGACCCGGTAGAACCAGATAGAACCCAGTAGAACAAGATAGGACCCGGTAGAACCTGATAGGACCCGGTAGAACCAGATAGAACCCAGTAGAACCAGAAAGGACCCGGTAGAACCAGATAGAACCCAGTAGAACCAGATAGAACCCAGTAGAGCCCGATAGAACCCGCTAGAACCAGATAGGGCCTGGTAGAACTAGATAGGATCCGGTAGAACCCAGTAGAACCAGATAGGACCCGGTAGAACCCGATGGGGCCCGGTAGAACCAGATAGGACCCGGTAGAACCAGATAGAACCCAGTAGAATCAGATAGAACCCAGTAGAATCAGATAGAACCCAGTAGAACCAGATAGGACCCGGTAGAACCTGATAGGACCCGGTAGAACCAGATAGAACCCGGTAGAACCAGATAGAACCCAGTAGAAACAGATAGAACCCGGTAGAACCAGATAGAACCAAGTAGAACCAGATACTACCCAGTAGAACCTGATAGGACCCGGTAGAGCCAGATAGAACCCAGTAGAACCAGATAGAACCCAGTAGAACCAGATAGAACCCGGTAGAACCTGATAGGACCCAGTCGAACCAGATAGGACCCGGTAGAACCCAGTAGAACCTGATAGGACCCGGTAGAACCAAATAGAACCCAGTAGAACAGGATAGAACCTGGTAGAACCTGATAGGACCCAGTAGAACCAGATAGGACCCGGTAGAACCTGATAGGACCCGGTAGAACCAGATAGGACCCAGTAGAACCAGATAGGACCCAGTAGAACCCGATGGGGCCCGGTAGAACCAGATAGGACCCGGTAGAACCAGATAGGACCCAGTCGAACCAGATAGGGCCCGGTAGAACCCAGTAGAACCAGATAGGACCCAGTAGAACCAGATAGGACCCGGTAGAACCCGATGGGGCCCGGTAGAACCAGATAGGACCCGGTAGAACCAGATAGGACCCGGTAGAACCCGATGGGGCCCGGTAGAACCAGATAGGGCCCGGTAGAACCAGATAGGACCCGGTAGAACCAGATAGAATCCGGTAGAACCAGATAGGACCCGGTAGAACCAGATAGGACCCGGTAGAACCAGATAGGACCCGGTAGAACCAGATAGAACCCGGTAGAACCAGATAGAACCCGGTAGAACCAGATAGGGACCCGGTAGAACCTGATAGGACCCGGTAGAACCAGATAGAACCCGGTAGAACCAGATAGAACCCGGTAGAACCAGATAGAACCCAGTAGAACCAGATAGAACCCAGTAGAACCAGATAGAACCAAGTAGAACCAGATACTACCCAGTAGAACCTGATAGAACCCGGTAGAGCCAGATAGAACCCAGTAGAACCAGATAGAACCCGGTAGAACCTGATAGGACCCGGTAGAACCCAGTAGAACCTGATAGGACCCGGTAGAACCCAGTAGAACCTGATAGGACCCGGTAGAACCAAATAGAACCCAGTAGAACAGGATAGAACCTGGTAGAACCTGATAGGACCCAGTAGAACCAGATAGGACCCGGTAGAACCTGATAGGACCCGGTAGAACCCGATGGGGCCCGGTAGAACCAGATAGGACCCAGTAGAACCAGATAGGACCCAGTAGAACCAGATAGGACGCGGTAGAACCCGATGGGGCCCGGTAGAACCAGATAGGACCCGGTAGAACCAGAGAGAACCCGGTAGAACCAGATACAACCCGGTAGAACCAGATAGGGACCCGGTAGAACCAGATACAACCCAGTCGAACCAGATAGGACCCGGTAGAACCAGATAGGACCCGGTAGAACCAGATAGAATCCGGTAGAACCAGATAGGACCCGGTAGAACCAGATAGAACCCGGTAGAACCAGATACAACCCGGTAGAACCAGATAGGGACCCGGTAGAACCAGATACAACCCGGTAGAACCAGATAGGACCCGGTAGAACCCAGTAGAACCAGATAGGAACCGGTAGAACCAGATAGGACCCGGTAGAACCAGATAGGACCCGGTAGAACCAGATAGGACCCGGTAGAACCCAGTAGAACCAGATAGGAACCGGTAGAACCAGATAGGAACCGGTAGAACCAGATAGGACCCGGTAGAACCAGATAGGGCCCAGTAGAACCAGATAGGACCCGGTAGAACCCGATGGGGCCCGGTAGAACCAGATAGGGCCCGGTAGAACCAGATAGGACCCGGTAGAACCCAGTAGAACCAGATAGGAACCGGTAGAACCAGATAGGAACCGGTAGAACCAGATAGGACCCGGTAGAACCAGATAGGGCCCGGTAGAACCCAGATAGGACCCAGTAGAACCAGATAGGACCCGGTAGAACCCGATGGGGCCCGGTAGAACCAGATAGGACCCAGTAGAACCAGATAGGACCCGGTAGAACCCGATGGGGCCCGGTAGAACCAGATAGGACCCCGTAGAACCAGATAGAATCCGGTAGAACCAGATAGGACCCGGTAGAACCAGATAGAACCCGGTAGAACCAGATAGGACCCGGTAGAACCCAGTAGAACCAGATAGGAACCGGTAGAACCAGATAGGACCCGGTAGAACCAGATAGGACCCGGTAGAACCCAGTAGAACCAGATAGGAACCGGTAGAACCAGATAGAACCCGGTAGAACCAGATAGGACCCGGTAGAACCAGATAGAATCCGGTAGAACCAGATAGGACCCGGTAGAACCAGATAGAATCCAGTAGAACCAGATAGGACCCGGTAGAACCAGATAGAACCCGGTAGAACCAGATAGAACCCGGTAGAACCAGATAGGGACCCGGTAGAACCAGATAGGGACCCGGTAGAACCTGATAGGACCCGGTAGAACCAGATAGAACCCGGTAGAACCAGATAGAACCCAGTAGAACCAGATAGAACCCAGTAGAACCAGATAGAACCAAGTAGAACCAGATACTACCCAGTAGAACCTGATAGAACCCGGTAGAGCCAGATAGAACCCAGTAGAACCAGATAGAACCCGGTAGAACCTGATAGGACCCGGTAGAACCCAGTAGAACCTGATAGGACCCGGTAGAACCAAATAGAACCCAGTAGAACAGGATAGAACCTGGTAGAACCTGATAGGACCCAGTAGAACCAGATAGGACCCGGTAGAACCTGATAGGACCCGGTAGAACCCGATGGGGCCCGGTAGAACCAGATAGGACCCAGTAGAACCAGATAGGACCCAGTAGAACCAGATAGGACGCGGTAGAACCCGATGGGGCCCGGTAGAACCAGATAGGACCCGGTAGAACCAGATAGAACCCGGTAGAACCAGATACAACCCGGTAGAACCAGATAGGGACCCGGTAGAACCAGATACAACCCAGTCGAACCAGATAGGACCCGGTAGAACCAGATAGGACCCGGTAGAACCAAATAGAATCCGGTAGAACCAGATAGGACCCGGTAGAACCAGATAGAACCCGGTAGAACCAGATACAACCCGGTAGAACCAGATAGGGACCCGGTAGATCCAGATACAACCCGGTAGAACCAGATAGGACCCGGTAGAACCCAGTAGAACCAGATAGGAACCGGTAGAACCAGATAGGACCCGGTAGAACCAGATAGGACCCGGTAGAACCCAGTAGAACCAGATAGGAACCGGTAGAACCAGATAGGAACCGGTAGAACCAGATAGGACCCGGTAGAACCAGATAGGGCCCAGTAGAACCAGATAGGATCCGGTAGAACCCGATGGGGCCCGGTAGAACCAGATAGGGCCCGGTAGAACCAGATAGGACCCGGTAGAACCCAGTAGAACCAGAAAGGAACCGGTAGAACCAGATAGGAACCGGTAGAACCAGATAGGACCCGGTAGAACCAGATAGGGCCCGGTAGAACCCAGTAGAACCAGATAGGACCCAGTAGAACCAGATAGGACCCGGTAGAACCCGATGGGGCCCGGTAGAACCAGATAGGACCCAGTAGAACCAGATAGGACCCGGTAGAACCCGATGGGGCCCGGTAGAACCAGATAGGACCCCGTAGAACCAGATAGAATCCGGTAGAACCAGATAGGACCCGGTAGAACCAGATAGGACCCGGTAGAACCCAGTAGAACCAGATAGGAACCGGTAGAACCAGATAGGACCCGGTAGAACCAGATAGGACCCGGTAGAACCCAGTAGAACCAGATAGGAACCGGTAGAACCAGATAGAACCCGCAAGAACCAGATAGGACCCGGTAGAACCAGATAGGAACCGGTAGAACCAGATAGAACCCGGTAGAACCAGATAGGACCCGGTAGAACCAGATAGGACCCGGTAGAACCAGATAGAACCCGGTAGAACCCGATGGCGCCCGGTAGAACCAATGAATCCAATAGAACTGAGCTGCTGCTGTGGGTCGGTACCGGGTCAGAGGTCATGCTGTGGGTCGGTACCGGGTCAGAGGTCATGCTGTGGGTCGGTACCGGGTCAGAGGTCAGGCTGTGGGTCGGTACCGGGTCAGAGGTCAGGCTGTGGGTCGGTACCGGGTCAGAGCAGATCAGAACCATGAGCGGGTCACTGATGATGATGATGTCTCTGTTTTTAGGGTTCTGATGAAGATGAAGGGTCCAAAGAGGACGGAACCAGAGGAAGCCGCGGGGCGGGGGAGGAGGACCAGTAGAACCGGTCCGGTCTGTAGAACCTGAGACCCAAACTGTTTGGTTCCTTCGGACTAATGATGCTTCAGGGTTGCCATAGCAACGAACCCAGAGAGCCGGTTCTGGACCGGTCCGGACTCCTGCTGATGAAGGAAGAGCCTCCAGTCCGTTTTCAGGAGCCAAGCCGAACAGAACCGACCCGGTTTGGAGGCTGAGTTCTTCTCTGTGGGCGGAGCTTCTTCAGCGATACCGGACTCCATTTCCCACAATGCTTTCTGCTGCCTAGACGAACGGATCAGGACTCCAGAACTTTGTGCGTTCTGCAGCATTGACCCGTTTACGCAGCCCTGGAATCTGGTTCTGTTGGTTCTGGCCCGGTTCATCTGAACCACATCTGGACCCTGAGGAGAACTCCTTTGTTCCTGAATGAGCCGGACCACCTGGTTCTTTCTGGACCGGTTCTGACCCGGTTACAGTTAACACCCAGGTTCTGATGAAAGAACAATCCTGGGTCCAAACAGCAGAGTTCTGTAGAACAACCCAGAAAAGGGGGGGGAGTGGGGTCTGGTTCTACCAGCTGTTCTGTTGCCATGGCAGCGCTCCTGTTGCCATGGCAGCTCCTGTTCATATAATCCAAACATGTTGAATAAATGGCTTCCTGTGTGCTGCTGCGTTTGTGGAAAATGGGACAAAGCGCTTCCATCCTTCCTGCTTCAGTTCATCTATTTAGCTGGAAGCTGAAGCTTCGGCCTCATCAATAAAAAGTATTCACACCCCTGCTTGTGTTTTTAGGTCCTGATTTAAACAACCTGTTCAGAATGAAAAGCAGCTTTTAGAAGGTTCACTTCATAAGGAGGGAAAAACTAAAGCTTCCTGGATCTAGGTCAGCTAGAACTGGACCTCCCGTACCATGATGACGCCGCCGCTGCAGAACACCAGCGGGTTCTAGAAGCACCAGCAACAGGATCTGCTGAGTAGCTCAGACTGACCCCTCATGGAGCGCTAAGGAGGGCTGAGGGCGCATTCAGAGGGTCTAAGCTCTAGTGGATAAAAAAGTAGTGCACTCAAAATCCCCCACAATGCACCTCGAAAAGTAGAGTGCATCAGATTTACCAGAATGCTTTGCAAGACCTCTCTTAGAATGGACCCTCGGAGGACCCGGTCTACCTGGACTGGACCCTCGGAGGACCAGGTCTACCTGGACTGGACCCTCCGAGGACCCGGTCTAACTGGACTGGACCCTCCGAGGACCCGGTCTACCTGGACTGGACCCTCCGAGGACCCGGTCTACCTGGACTGGACCCTCCGAGGACCCGGTCTACCTGGACTGGACCCTCCGAGGACCAGGTCTACCTGGACTGGACCCTCCGAGGACCCGGTCTACCTGGACTGGACCCTCCGAGGACCCGGTCTACCTGGACTGGACCCTCCGAGGACCAGGTCTACCTGGACTGGACCCTCCGAGGACCCGGTCTACCTGGACTGGACCCTCGGAGGACCAGGTCTGGTTCCTTGGAGGTCTGTGAAACGAAGGATGGACCAATGATCTATTTATTCACTGGACTGTTGATTGGCTGAAAAAAGTGAAGCCTCCGTCGGCCATGTTGGTACTCCCCACTCCCACAGAGACGCAGTGGAAAGCCTCCCTGCAGCATCCGTTAATCCAGCAGTTTTCCTGCCGTGGGAAGACGTTCCACAGATTATTCCACAGTCGAGGGTTCAAACATACTTGATGATTCGTTCTTTAAATGATGTTTGATGTTTCCTGTTATTTTCTAATTGTGATTCTGCTGGATTAGAACCTGAAACTGTGAAGTTATTAAATCACCTGATTAATTTAGCTCTATGGTAAATCTGTCAGATTAATAGGCTGTTTATGGCATCATTCATGCATAATCTGAAAATACAACAATATTAACAGACTTCTAATCCAGTCTTTATGTTAAATTTTAAAATCATATCTAATTAATAATGTAATCGATCCATGTTTATTAGATGTTCATCATCTATTTAGCACTTTAGCCTAATCTATATTATTCTGCTCCATTAACACATTAATGTTATTGTGATGGATTGTATAATATAATGTGATTTATAGATTTCATAATGATGCAATTAATGAGCCGATTGTTTCATTAACTTAAAGTTAATCTACTGATTCTATGAAGCAGCCAGTCTGAGTCAAAGTGATGAATTTATCTTTATTTTAAAAGTCTTAAGTTCCTGAAAGTGAGAACATCATCGTTGTTTGAAGCTTTAGCGCACAGATTGTTCACATTGAGGCCGGTCTAACTAGGGAGTACCAATATGGCGGCCGGTGGCTTCACTTCAACCCTGTTCTACCAACGGCCAATCAGAATCCAGAGATCAGTGGGATGGAAGAGTTTGGCTGTGGATTCAAAAGGTCCAGCCTTCACCGCCCATACGCTCTGTTGCTTAGCAACCGTCGACACACCAAGCAGCAAGGAATGGATGCTGAGCTTCTCCCTGCTGTTCTGGGTGCTAATAACATTCCTGAGGAGCTTCAGCAGCAGTACGGTCGTCTCAGATTTATTATCCCACCCTGCAGAGATATTAGGATCAGAGTTTAACGTTTCCTAAACATTCCCAAACCAAACTAGCCTCACAGAGGAATCTGCCATGGCTGTCTGCTAATTCCTGCTAACTGAGAGCAGGCCGCTACAGGCTGCCTGTTGCTGGAAGGGTTAGCCGCTTGAAGCTAGCTAGCAGATTAGCCTTTCCCTGCAGGATAAATCCCAAATCAATGATGCAATCAAAATGATTCATATTTTTTCAAAAGCTTCATGATTTGCCATGATGGCGGCCATTGTTAGATCTACAGCTCAGCATTTGGGAGTTCCTGCAGTCAGAGGAAAATGAAAGGATGAGGGGAAATGTTAACCCTTTCATCTCAGAGATTTGATGATTGGATCCAAAGAGATTAAAGTTCTTCTAAGCCTGAATGTTTCCCAGCTCTGCATTCTTCAGCTATCGACTTTAACTTCATATTGAAAAGAAAAGTCATGATTAATAAAGAAGATTCAGGGTTTAATGTTTTAGATATATCTCATACATTCTAACCATCCCTTAAAATAAAACAGATTAAAGGTATTTTCTAAATCGCTCATCGTGTTATTGAAGCTTTCAGGTCTAAAGTTCTCATGGAGGTGAAATAGAAATAGAATACTCAGTAAATCCTCCTCTGCTGCCCTCTAGTGCACAAGCAGAACTTTACAATCACCTTTATAACCTTAGCAATAATCTGGGCAGATTATGAAAGGCTGTCTGCTTCTGGGTCAGTTTCCGGGAAGGTAGATTTCTCCCATTCTGTGAGTCGTGAGTTAGCTGCTGTTCTCCATGTTGTTCCCTCAGAGGCGCGACTCATCGGCGCCCAGAGCTGCTCCTCAGGATGTTCCTCAGCTCAACTTTTCCTGACTAAAAATAATAGCAGAGCAGATTGAGACGGAAACCAGCTGCCAGCCTCCAGCTGTTAGTGTTTGGGAAAATTATCAGGATAAAGATGCTCATCAGCCCAGCTGCTTCTCAGCACTAAAACATTTTCACAAGTTACAGTATTCTAGTCGATGTATTTCTGGCCAAATTTCCTAACAGTAAGAAACTTCTCTGGTCATTCTGTCATCATCCCTTTATTGTCCCACAATGGAGAAATTAACTCTGCATTTAACCCATTCCCTTGGGGAGCAATGGGCTGCCATTGTGGGGCCCTCTAGCTCTAAGCACTAAGCTCTAACCTCTAGGCTCTAACCACTAGGCTCTAACCTCTAGGCTCTAAGCACTAAGCTCTAACCACTAAGCTCTAACCTCTAGGCTCTAACCACTAGGCTCTAACCACTAGGCTCTAACCTCTAGGCTCTAACCACTAGGCTCTAACCACTAGGCTCTAACCACTAAGCTCTCACCTCTAAGCTCTAACCACTAGGCTCTAACCTCTAGGCTCTAACCACTAGGCTCTAACCACTAAGCTCTAACCACTAAGCTCTAACCTCTAGGCTCTAACCACTAGGCTCTAACCACTAAGCTCTAACCTCTAACCACTAGGCTCTAACCTTTAGGCTCTAACCTCTAGGCTCTAACCACTAGGCTCTAACCACTAAGCTCTAACCACTAGGCTCTAACCACTAAGCCCTAACCTCTAAGCTCTAACCTCTAGGTTCTAACCACTAGGCTCTAACCACTAAGCTCTAACCTCTAAGCTCTAACCTCTAGGCTCTAACCTCTAGGCTCTAACCACGAAGCCCTAACCTTTAAGCTCTAACCTCTAGGTTCTAACCACTAAGCTCTAACCTCTAACCACTAGGCTCTAACCTCTGGGCTCTAACCTTTAGGCTCTAACCACTAAGCTCTAACCTCTAACCACTAGGCTTTAACCTCTAGGCTCTAACCTCTAGGCTCTAACCACTAGGCTCTAACCTCTAGGCTCTAACTTCTAGGCTCTAACCACTAGGCTCTAACCTCTAGGCTCTAACCACTAGGCCATAACCTTTAGGCTCTAACCACTAGGCTCAAACCTCTAGGCTCTAACCACTAGGCTCTAACCTCTAGGCTCTAACCTCTAGGCTCTAACCACTAGGCTCTAACCTCTAGGCTCTAACCACTAAGCTCTAACCACTAGGCTCTAACCACTAGGCTCTAACCTCTAAAGCCTAACCTCTAGGCTCTAACCACTAGGCTCTAACCTCTAAACTCTAACCACTAGGCTCTAACCACTAGGCTCAAACCACTAGGCTCTAACCACTAAGCTCTAACCACTAGGCTCTAACCTCTAAACCCTAACCTCTAGGCTCTAACCACTAGGCTCTAGGCTCTAACCACTAGGCTCTAACCTCTAGGCTCTAACCTCTAGGCTCTAACCACTAGGCTCTAACCTCTAGAATCTAACCTCTAGGCTCTAACCACTAGGCTCTAACCTCTAGGCTCTAACCACTAGGCCATAACCTTTAGGCTCTAACCTCTAGGCTCTAACCACTAAGCTCTAACCACTAGGCTCTAACCTCTAAACCCTAACCTCTAGGCTCTAACCACTAGGCTCTAACCTCTAAACTCTAACCACTAGGCTCTAACCACTAGGCTCTAACCACTAGGCTCTAACCTCTAGGCTCTAACCACTAAGCTCTAACCACTAGGCTCTAACCACTAGGCTCTAACCACTAGGCTCTAACCTCTAAACCCTAACCTCTAGGCTCTAACCACTAACCTCTAGGCCAAAACTCCCCTATAATTTATGAATTATCTTTCTTTGGGAGCCTCTTATGGTCCAACCTTCTGGTGTTATTTTATCCTCTACCTTAATTACTTTAATATAAACTTGGAACATAAACATTTTATTTGACTGCTTTTAATGATCAAGAACCTAATAAAGTCTGAGATGTTGTTAAACTTTTCTTCCAGCTAAATTTCATGCACAATGTGGCAAGTTTGCTAAGCAACAAGCAAATGTCAGTTTTCCTTTATGTCAACATGAAACCAAAATCTTTAAATGTTGCACTAATCTAAAGGCTGGTGTGCTGCCGCTCCTGGACCTGTATTCTAGCTTCTAATCTGGTTCCTCTATCTGATTCTAGCTTCTAATCTGGCTCCTCTATCTGATTCTAGTTTCTAATCTGGTTCCTCTATCGGATTCTAGTTTCTAATCTGGTTCCTCTATCTGGATTCTAGCTTCTTATCTGGTCCCTCTATCTGGATTCTAGCTTCTTATTTGGTCCCTCTATCTGGAATCTAGTTTCTAATCTGGTCCCTCTATCTGGATTCTAGTTTCTAA